AATCCATTACAATTTGGGTAAGGACTCGAGTTGGGCCGAGCTGATTGAATGTGATAAATTCACTTTTTAAAAAATTAATTAAAACCTTAAACTGGTACTTGAGCACTCAAAACATACTGGGGCCACTTTAAGGAGTATCTATAAAAATATTGGAATGATTTGAAATTTTTTTTTTTAAGATTTAACATGTTATGTGTACACATAAGAGTTCTACTCCGGACAAGTTTTTAACTAAAAGGTCCTAAAAACCCAAAAAACAACTTGCATCCCGCCGCAATGGGTCTAACTTAAATTTAAATCTCAAGTAAATATTCCTCTCTAGAAATTTCAACTCGATTCGACCATTTTTCTGGAAATTATAGCCAGTAAAAGTTGAAACTTAAAACTATAAAAAACTATAAAACTTGAAACTTAAATACTGTGGTATTTTTTTAAATTTTAACCGTAAAGAAGTGAACATTTTCAATTTTTACTCACTTAAAGTCGTCAACTAGATAACATTTGCGATTTAAAGAGTTGCTACTCGAAGGAACTGATCCAGTAATAAAAAAGTTACAACAGACACAAAAAAAACCTACATCAGAATGTAAATATATTTTAGATACCAGCTGTTGACCGTTACTCATTGCAATATACAAACTTAAACCCGTAAAAACGAAATCCCCCCTAAATTTTAAGGGAAGACAACTTTTTTTTTTAATTAGTCAAAACTTAACTATAGCTATTATCTCGAAAGTCTTTTCATATGCTTCTAATCGCCAGTAGTTAGAACCACGTGTCTTGAAAATGTACTAAGTAATGCTTAATTTTAAAAAAATAGTCCATTTTCTAGTGTTATTTAAATAGATAATGAAGTATACAATTGCGACTAGCCAAAAAACACTTGTTTTCACCGAGATGTGCCCACTTTTTTTGTGCAGGCAATAAAAAAACAAATTTTTTGAACTTGTCTAAAAATTATATTCATATTTATCAGACAATAACTGGATATCTATCACTGTAATTGTTTTCTGCGAGATTCTGGAAAAAACGGGAGGAATTGAATTTAAAATTTTGAAAATATAAAAAAAACTATAATTAGTATCGCTTTGTCATAAATTTTGTTTTTTGCGGTTTGATAATCAAACAAACCAAATACTGTTACTTTTAAAATGTCCATAGTGTTTAAAAAATGTACTCAAATAGCAACAATTGTGATAAAAATTAATTAGGATTAGTTTTTTTTTAATATATAGACAACATGTGGCAGTTTTGTTATTATTTCGCCATCTGGTTAAGAATTATTATCAAGTTGAAAGTTAAACGTCTCGAATCGAAATGAGACAGTCTTGATTTATTATGCTTAAGTATAAAAAACTGTAGCAGCATTATATTTTTTTTAACGCCAGGAACTTAAAGTTCTTTTTAGACCTTTAGGAAAAGTTTTATGCCTTTCCGATCGTTATTTTGCTAAATTCGCAAACGCCCAATATTAATACACGTGTACCTTCGAGTACATTACAAAAACATGTTATTCTACTATTTTCTTTTATTCAAAATACACTAGAAAATTGATTGATTCATTAAGGACGGGACAGTAGTTTTCTCTCAAAATAATAGCATTTTTGTAGCTTTTATAATAATTGCAGACACTTAAGTTGGTGTACTTTTACAATATTATAAAATTATTACTAAACATTTACCTTTTCTAATTTTTTTTTTCACAGCTCAGTATTTTTACAGAAGCGTAGTGCATGCAGAAAAAATAATATTTCACTCCACCCTTCTTCTCGTCCTAAATTGTAATGTTTAATAACTCCCAAAGTAATTAACCAAAACTGGTTATCGACCGGTATACTATTAAAAAAATTATTCTCAGTTTAAATAGTAAATTAAATATGTACACAAGTTAATATTTAAGTTTTAAAAAAGGTGGTAGGCTTATGGAAAATAATAAAAAAAAATGTTGATGTTTAGTATTTTAATAATATTGTAAAATATGATAACCAAAAATGTTTTTAAAAAAGAAATACTACAAAATTGCAATTATTCTAAAGCGTACTCATTCCATATTTAAACCATGACGAAAACATTCGGTTTGGGTTCAAAAAAGTTTGTTTTATCAATTTTAAAAACACCCATTGCTGCTTCGTGTTGCGCTCAATTTAAAAATATTTAAAACGGCAGAGACCATAAAAGATGGTGGACAATTTTCAACAAATTAGGGGTTCCGTTTTAGGCCAATACGAATCAATAAGTCATAAATGATAAGACCATTGCATAGGTGTATAAATTATTTTAATAATTGTTAGAGAGAGAGGATTATGTATAATTTCGCACATTGTCGCATGTGTTTCAAAAGTTACACCGAGTTCAAAAGTAAATAAAGATTTATAAGTACGATTTTCTATGGTTTCTAAGTATTATTTATCGAATTCTCGCCTAAGCATTGACTCGAAAATACAATTTTTTTTTCTATAGAAAAACACTTGGGTTGTTCGATGTGCGTTCCCATTTCCACTGTTTACATAAATTGAATGGCGATTTTGCAATATCTTATAGCAACTTGTATGAATTTATTGTTTTTATGTATGTTAATCTACTTTTTGTTTTTTAGTAAAATAGAATTGCATTGGACTTTGAAGTTTATAATATAATTTAAAAGAGCCGTAGTCTTTTAATAAGTTTGATTATTATTATTTTTATTTTTATAATACACAAATAGTCGCGTTTGCATTAATCGAAGTAATTGTTCATACTTAAACGACAAAACAGTTCACTAAACTGCCATAATCTACTGTGCAAGGTTCCACACTAAACTCAATGGTCATCCGGACCAACTTGTTTACAACTTCCTTACTAGTAAACACAATAGTATGAAACCGACCGTTGGGTCCTAACCTATCCTAACACGGGTCGATGTTACCAACCGACAGTTATTAGCGTCTGTTCGTTTCTCTCATCTGGTACACCATGTTTGTAATAATAAAAAAAAAAAAAATTTGATACATTTTTTTTTATAGATTTTAGGGTTTTTTGTTAAAATGTACGCAATCTGCGAAAAACACAGTTTTCCGGAAACTAAAGAAAAACTGTAGTGGCAAATTTGTTTTCCGTTTAATATGTTATGGATACATACGAGTTCTAAACACTGGCAAATTTTCAACTTAAAGGTCTTGAAATTACGACTAAAAACACAAAAAACTTGTACCCCCCTAGGGGGGTTGGAAATAGGTTTAATTCAAATTTGATACAACTGACGTGTGCGGGCATACCAAATAAATATTACTAATAAATTTCAACTCGATCCGGCTTAGTTTCTCGAACTTATAGCCAGTAAAAGTTCTAACTTAATTTTATTTTATTGTGTCAAGTGTGTTGTTAATTTTTATTAAAAATGTAAAACATTGGACCTACCGGTAGAGCTTCTACAAAAGAAGTGTACTCATGGTGAAAATGTTTACAAACAATAATTATGAATTAAGTTAGAAAATAATATCATATAGTTGGATGTATCTATTAGTCTAGACGGAGTGAAAGATTTTTTTATTACTACACATTTATACACAATGTTTCAAAAATTCAGTAGTTAACTGTTTTTGGTTAGTTTAAACCCTTTTCCCTCCTAAAAAATAAAAAAATAACTTATTACCAGATATTTAACACAGTTTTATTACTTGTTAATATCACTACAAATGTGATTTCAATAGTGAAATAAATTATTTCAAATTTTCAAAGAGTGGTGGAAGGAGTGCCTAGAATTGCAAGGGTATTTTAAAAATAGATTGATCATATGATTTTACAATATCGTAATACTATACAGGGCGGCCCACAATGATTTGACAAATTAAATAACTTTGGTTCTAGTGAATACTTAAAGATTTTTTTTTTAATAATTTATACTCATTTGCGCTATAAGCACTACGTTTTTTATTGCACTCAACTGTTTTACTTTTTTTAATTATTATTTTGGTTATATTTTAAAAAAAAAATTCAAAATGGACATTTTGTTGAGAAGTGGAGTGCGGTAGAGAATTGCGCTTATGTGTATGTTTTTCCAAACGCAATGAATTGATAATTTGATAAAAATTACAATGGTAAAAAATAATAAATGTTGTTATTTATTTGTTGTGAGATATTTCGCTTTTCCTTCAATACTTTGATTAACACTTTTGGTAAATTGTGATTAGAATTTTGTATAACATTCACACACACATATATGTAGAGAATTATTAATTTAACATATTACATAGCTATACATTTTTTTTGATCTTATAATAATAATATGTAGATGTTACATATTTATGTTTTATATCGAATGTAATACCTATAACACATTTAAAGTTAATTTATAAAAATAATCATTATTAATTTAGTTAAAAGATATAGCTACATGATACAACAATTTACTTAACACCTATTAAATTTGTGTGATAATAAACTTACCGTACTTTGAACCATATTAGTTAAATTAAATTTTTATCATAAATTATAAATGTATTCTTACATTTAGTTGACACTGAAAAAATATTACTTATTTGACAAGAATAAATTATACCATATGTTTTTATTCGATACGAGATAAGTTTAATTATTGTTAGGTAGTATGAAAAAATAAACAGCGCAATGTAAAATTATTATTATATTTTAAATACTTGCTTAAAATTAAATCGTTATGATAACTTGAATATATATTGGAGATTAGAATGATTACAATAAAATAATATACACATATTATTACTATATACTATAAATAGTTCGGCACATAATTCTACGGTACATTCATCATCGTCATTTTAAAATTATATACGTATAAAATTAAATAGAAGTATATTTTTTTCAGAAAATTTATTTATAAGGACATAGTGTAAACTACGATCGCTTAAAAAATACCTAAAATTATTTCTAATGGAAATTTTATTTTTCAAGCTGTTAGTATAGAGTTGGTAATAGTTAATGCCAAAATCAAATATTTCATCATCAGGGATCGTGCTTATAATAATATTATTTGATTAGAAAATATCACTTTAAATTCTATTGGAATTAAATTTATCTATAACTAAAGTTGATTCGTAAAAATATTAATAATTACGCTGTGTCGTTTGGCATCCTGCATGGTAGGCGGCTCGCTTAAATAAAGTTGTGTCCGCTTGACCGTCCCCATCGGATTAACGAACTAACAATTGGTAATTTAACATATAACAAATTAAATTTTACTTTACATGAGATTTGTTGATGATTTCTTTTCTAGTTAACCATCGTTTCGAGTCTGTGATTGAAGTTGAACAAAATGGTCTTTTGGATTTGCAAACGATTTGGAAAAAATACAGAAATTTGTCTTCGATATATGTAACAAGTCTTTTAAATCCAAATGGAGAGTAACTCAGCACATAACTTAATCATATGGTGCACACTCATCAACCCAGGAAAGCACTAAAATGTTCAAAATGATTAAAATCAACACATATTATACCTAAACTTAGGCCTTGAATTTTAACTGTATAAAAATAGTAACTGTTGTTAGATAGCCTTATCATTAGGATGCATATTGTTATTTAATAATAAAATTTGATTAAAATGTTTAACTTAAAAATCAAATTACTTATATGCTTCTCCGTCAACTGTTGCTTGATAACCTTTATAGTTTTGATAGAGAACTATTGTTCCCCTGCTCATTTTCTTCTATTTTTGATCATGGTCCGTGTTTATAACCATCCATCTTAGCTCTGATTATTGGTTATTTCACAATACTTTAACTCTAAAAAACAAAGCATATTTTCAAAATTAGTACAAAAAATAATGATTTTTTATTAATATATAGGGAGCCAAGTCAGAAACTAAACGTAGTCGATGAGATAAGAAAGAGGCGGCTCTAATGGGCCGGCCATGCGTGGCGAAAGGAAAGCTTCCTCATACACTTGATACTATGTGATTCTCTGGAAGGTGTGGGACCACTCGGTAGACCAAGGTTGAGGTGGGAAGACCGGGGTTTCAAAAGATGTCGAGCGGGTTCAACCGGATAGAGATTGGAAAATCCTAGCAATGGAAAGGGAAAGATGGCATGGCAAATGTTTGTCAGTACGGTCTTGAAGCCTGTTAACTACGAAGAAGAATTAATTATAACCAGTAAAAAACAATCCAAGTTATTAAAAAAATATAATACTACTTTAGCTGACTTAACTAAATAATACAACCATAATCATAATTGTTTTCCTACCATCATACTACTTCCTATATAAAATATAAATTTGTTTGAATTTCTTTAAATGAAAATATATTTTTTTTTTTAGTCATATTATATTTTTAAGAAAGGCACCTTTTAATATAAAAACAATGACTACTTAATAATCTGTACGCTCTGTGCGGGGCGGGCGGGTGCTAGTAATAGCGCTTACAGTGAAAATAATACTACTAGAGTAGCTGTGTATTGTTGTTCAAAACTAAAATTTATCTCGGTTCATTATCATTTAGTAAGTTTATACAATGGCGTTAAAATGGTTTGAAATTAAAACACACTCATGTCATTTTAATGAATTAACAACTTACATGTTTGGGTTAAAGCGACACGGCTTATACTATTGGTTAGAAAAATATATTATATTTCATTTATATTATAATATAATTATATGATTAAAAAATTCCCAATTCTTACTAAAAAAAAAAGTTATTGGGAACTTAAAAAAAAAAAAAAATAGTAAAATCACAAAAAGAACGTTTAGTGGTCATCCTGAAAACTATGAAACATGTTGCTTAGACTCTTTTGCCGTGTCACCATTGATATATTATTCACACTAAATGTAAATAGAACTCACAATGAACAAAAAAAACCACAGTCGACACTTTTAAAATTTAACCAGACTACTAAATAAAATAGTTCGCAAAATAATGCCTGTCCTAATTTAAATTAAGTTATTGTTTTTTTTTTTTGCAACAAAATGTATTTAACTTTAAAAATACATTACTTATATGCATACCCGTCAATTGTTTTTTGATAATCGTTATAGTTTGTCCGAGAACTGTTGAGTTTTTTTTCAATGTGATTCAGCTTTGATTTTTTCACTAAGACTTTGTTGAAATACTGTTTTACGTCCTCGACTTCTTGTATTTTGATCATGGTCCCGTTATAATCATCCATTTTAGTAGTGATTTTTGGTATTTCTGATTCTCACTAGTTAACTCTAAAAAACAAAGCATATTTTAAAAATTAGGACAAAAAATAACAATTTTTTTTATTAAAAATGATTATAGCCTGTGTCTAAACAAATTTAAATAAAACATTAATGCAGGCACACTTTTCTGGAAAATAGAGCCAAATAAGAGGCCTAGAGGTTTTTCAAGAAAATCAAAACATTGATTCAATGATTGACATTTTAGTCGGTTATTACTAAACCGACTTTTTATTAGTAAGATCTTACTGATCTTACTAATAAAAAATAATCCACTCTTAAAAAATTTAATACCACACAACATGAATTTTCTTTCTCCATAAAATATAAATTAGTTACCACTTTCTCTAAATATACTAAACAAATATTTTGTCTTTTACGGCAGATTATAATAATTAGGAAAAAATATAATTAATACCTTACAAAATAATGAATATCTATTTAATAATAGTAATAAATTTAAAATAATGCTTCAATAGATATCAACAACTTAAACCATTACTACTATTATTGATGATAAATATTTTAGATAGCCAACCGATAGATAAATTTTAGTTTTATACACTAATACGGGACATGCGCTAGTAGTATCTTTGTTTAGAAAATATTACTTATAGCTCGTATCGTATTGTGGTTCAGAACTTAAATATGAAATTTATTTAACAATTACATTCGAGTCAAGTAAACACTTTAAATCAGTGTTTAAACATTAAACGGTCAATCCAAACAATTGATCATATCCAGTTATTATTAAGTAATGCTATGAGAAACTATAAAACAGTACATTCCATTTCTATAATATATTATTCACACTAAATGTAAATAGATCTCACAATTAACAAAAAAAACACAGTCAAAACCTTCACATAACTTCTTATCAATTATCGTCCGTCCCTACGACCACCGATGGCAATTCTGACTATGATTTTTTTAAGGATGTATGAAAACTGTTTAAATTATTTAAAAAATCAATGCCTAACACGGAACTACAGAATCGAATTAATTGTTATAAATTAATAAATAGAACCATAATGTTACTCGGTACATACTATTATACAATGGGAATGTTTGTCAAGGCTGTGATCCCCAAAACGCCAAACAACCGGTATAAAATCCATCAACGAATCTAATTTTTCATACGTTTATAAAATATATAAATACATACATTTCCAACAAATCGGCCGCTTTGAGTAAATTAAAAACATAAAAAATATATTGTTACCTACTTGACAATATGGTTGTGGAGATAGCACCGCGAAAACTAGCCACCAGTGATAACAGTGGTGGCTGGAGGTAGAATGCAGTGGGATAGCATCACTTTTCCCAAATTGAATGCATTACTACCATGGATCATTTCATCCATTGTACACTTTTTTCCATTGGCAATTTTCCTATCAGGTCTTTTAAACTAACTTTAAACCTGTAACCTCCTCACCACCACCGTACTCTTGACCCTTTCATTATTATTATTATTATTATCCATGACATATTGTTCTAATGAAATATTTTTAACAGTTGAATATAACCAACATTACAGACTAGACTAAATGGATTTTATGATGAAGACTATTTTTGCCATCATGGCATTCAGAGCATTTCACAAATTTTTGGGGTAACTTACCCCCAAAAAACTTCAAAAGTCTATGCTTTAGGAAAAAAATAAGCTAAAAAAGTTTGACACTGTAATAATAAAATTAATAAAAGTAGTTATCAAATAATTGTATAAATATATATTTTAAACAAATAGGTCACAATAGTCATTGGATAAAATTATTATTAATAAGTAGTTAAATCACGTTTCATTAAACGTTGATAGATATAAGTAATGCACATATACATATTTTTAAGTTAGTACTAGAAAATACAAAATATATTACCGTATATTAACTTAAGTATACATATTTTTGGGGGTAATTAATCAGTGTGTACGCGTTTGTTGTGTTTTGTGAGGCTTGATTTTGTAGTAAACGAATTAAAACACACAGCACATTTATAGAGATTTTCACCAGTGTGTAAGCGTTCGTGATTTACGAGGTGGTCTTTTCGAAAAAATGCTATTGGGCAAACAGTACACTTATAGGGTTTTTCACCAGTATGCACATGTTTGTGTTTTGTGAGGTTTGTGTTTAGGGAAAACGATTTGAAGCAGACCGCACATTTGTAGGGCCTTTCTCCGGTATGCACTCGTTTGTGTTTCGTAAGATTGGATTTTTCAGAAAATGACTTTAAACACACCAAACATTTGTTGAGCTTTTCTCCAGTGTGCACGCTTTCATGTATGGTGAGTTTTCGTTTTGCAGCAAATGACTTTAAACATACAGTACAACTATAGGGTTTTTCGCCAGTGTGTACACGTTCATGTATTGTAAGGCAGTTTTTATGTGAAAATGACTTTAAACATACAGCACAACTGTAGGGTTTTTCACCAGTGTGTACTCGTTCATGTATTTTGAGGCAGCCTTTACGTGAAAACGATTTTAAGCAAATAGCACACTTATAAGGTTTATCTCCAGTGTGCACGCGTCCGTGGTTTTTGAGAGTGCTTTTAGCAGAGAATGACTTTAAACACACCAAACATTTGTAGGGTTTTTCTGCAGCGTGCACGCGTTCGTGATTCTTGCGATTCGATTTTTGAGAAAATGAACTTTTGTGGGATTTTATTAAATGTAATGTTATTTGTTTTTTAGTGTGGTACGACGTTTGACAAAAATTGCAGTAGAATATTCGTCGTGCTTTCATATCATTATTGTCATTCTTTGGTGCTATTTGATTATGGCAGTCTTTTTCTACCACAGACCCGACGTGACAACTATCAATTTGTTTATTCTTTTCATAACTCGTGTCAGTGGACCTACAATAAAACATACAAAAATAAATATTTATGTTTAACAAAATTATACACTTCTCACGTTTGCACATATTATGTTATTACTTTTTTTTACTTACACCTATGCAATTTGTGTTTGATAAGTCTGTTAATTAGTTTTTTAATTTATTTTATTCTATTGGAATTAAATTTATTTACGACTTTAATTATTAATGTATAAAAATATTGATAATTATGCTGTTTTTCGGCATTCCGCATGAAAGGCAGCTATTTTTTAACATAGTATCTCTCTCTTTTATTATAAATTCTATTTTGAAGGAAAACAATTTATGAGTTTTTCAAAAATATAGTTAGAAAACATCTAAAGTTTTTACGGACGAATTTCTATTCAAGACAAACTAAACAATTAGTATGTGAACGTGAATATCCCACATTTTTACTTGCCAATATCTATCATTTTTTTCTTTATTGAAAGTTGAATGAAAACTTAAACTGCTAATTTAAAAGTTTAATAAATTGTTATATCGTGAATTATACAGTGACTATTTAAATAATAAGAGATGTAATGAATAAGAAAAATATTTTTACTACTTACACGAGACTTTTTTTGATGACTCGTGTTCTAGTGTTTTTCTGGGTTGGTGCATGTGCATTATGTAATCGAGTTATGTGCTGAGCCAATCTCCATTTGGTGTTAAAAGACTTCTTACATAAATTACACGCAAATTGTTGTATTTCATCCAATTCGTCTTTAGTAGATTGCACATTCAAAAGACCATTATTTTCCACTTGAATCACGGACTCGAAGTAATGTCCATTCACTATATCGGCTTCTAATTTAACTATCGTTGTATTGCTCTCTTTTCTATAACTGAAAATAAAATTATTTATTTCAAATGTGAAAAATGAAATAGACAATATTGCTAAGAAGCGAGTATTATAGAAAAGTATACTACGCGCTATCAGTAAAACAATTCTTCGTTTGTAGTGACTGTGCGATCTTTAACGTTTACTTTGTATTTAGGTATGCAGTTATAATATGTAATTAGAAAAACAAATTACTTGTATATATTCCCGTCAAATGTTTTTTGAAGATCGTTCTGTGCTGTCACATAACTTTTATATGATTTATCAATATTTGTTGATTTTGTTTCTTCTATAGAAATTTCAGTTAATTCCTGTTTCATCTCTTCGTCGTCTTTATCAATTTTGTTCTCTATGCCATAATAATAACCGTCTGTTTTGTCTTCAACTTTGATTTTCGAATCAACAACGCTGAAAAATAAAATATAATTTAAAAAAGTATATTAATTAAAAAGAATCAGAAAATCTGTAAAATTAAGTTATAATAAGAACTAAAAAAAAAAAACATAATAAAAAAGTGAGTTTATAGTTAATGTTATTGTCTTTAGTTGAATGTAATTAAAATATTAAATTTTTTAAAAATTATATTGGTTAATAAGGAAATGTACATCAAATAAATGTATAAGTAACCTCAATACTTGTATTTAAAATATATTATTATAAAAATTATATTACTTGTATCCATTCGCGTCGATTGTATTTTGTTGCTCTTTTTCTTCTTCCACTTCAAAAATAGACTTATAATAATAATCGTCCGTTTCTCCTACTTCAATTTTAATTCCTCCTGCTTCATTAAGTCTAAAAAATAGAGTAAATTGTTTTACTTAGTATCGATTCTTCTATGTTTACATTGTCGAAATAATTATTAATATTTTATAATATTCTAGGAAGTATGTCGCTATATAAATATGTTGTTTATCTTTATAATAAAAATACTGTTCAGGCACAATCAGCTGATTGATGGTAGTGTGGTGGGGGGTCGGTTCGCGACCAGTGACCGCCCGATGGTCAAGCAAAATAGGCGCGTTTCCGGCGAAAATATTAATATTATAAGTGATTCTTTTCGTAATTGTGTTAATGAACAATAAATTGGTTATTTTAATTAGATAAGATTTATGTGTTATTATTATTAAAAAATATTAAAAAGTGTAACCAAAGAGTTTTCCGATTTATACAGTCCACTTGTAACACGCTAGTCGATTGCGTGGCGCAAACATATTGGTCCATCGACCCGAATTACAAGGTACAAGGATAGTAGTGGGGTAAGTGAGTCTTCAGAATATTAGAATTCCTATAAAAAATACTATACTACTTCCTGTATAATAATTTTGTTCCTTATTCCCGTGATACCTATTTGCCTATTGCGCGTGCGGTAATAATATCTTAGTGGGGATCTCCCAGCTACTTTGCGGTGATCGAGCTTCAAGGCAAGAGGTATCAGCAATGGATGAGAAGATAGCAAACGAATTGGCGGTATATGTTACCAGACGGGGTCAGTTAAAGGCTCAACTGACGAAATTTAATGTGTTTATAAATGACCCGAATAGAAATACCAACCTAACGCAGGTGAAGTTGCGAATGGGAAAAATAAATGTGATATGGGACGAGTTTGATAACGTCCAAAACAACATCTAAGCAAGAGATAGTAGTACTGAAAACTTACAATATCGAGATACGTTTGTGGATTTGTTTTTCGACTTAATGGCAAAGGCAGAAGACAAATTAAAAGAGGCACAAACAAATTATATCCCACAAATACCTCAACAAAATAGTGGTACAAATCAAAATGACAATTTCTCGTTGGTAAAATTAAACCTTTGGAAATCCCATGTTTTACAGGCAAGTATGCAGAATGGTCTGCATTCCATGATATGTATTATGCTATGATTCACTCAAATACTTCAATTACAAAAGTTCAATAATTGTATTTCTTGAGGAATTCGTTAGGCGGAGATGCAGGTGAATTAATACAAAACTTGGAAACTACAGCAGACAACTATGAGGCAGCGTGGTCAATAATAAAAGAAAGATATAATAATAAGCGTATGTTAATTCAAGCAGATACAAAGCATATTTTTGATTTGGAACAAATCTGTTGAGGCTATAACAGGTAATGGAGCGCAATTCTATGCCGGTTATCGCCAATGATACAGATGCCCTCTTATCTTGGTTGTCGCGGCCGTCCACACCACTCCGCCCTACTCCGCACGATCTATACTGGCAATACTACCGGTCAGCTGTTCACACACACACACACACACACACATATACGCACCGGGTTATACTATGTAAACAAATGTGCCACGCCCGTATTATCAGTGTTAGTAGTGCACTTGTTGCATTCTTGTGATTTTAAAGTATAATATTAATCTAGGCTTTTTTGTGTGTTTTTCTTCAGTGTTTTTTAGTTTTAAGTGTTATTATAGTATTTTTAAGCCATAAGGGCACTGTGATTTTTTATTATTATTGTCTTAAGGACAAAAGATTGTTTATTATTGTATTTTTAAGCCATAAG